GGGGGGGGGAGTTACCATTTGGGGGGTAGTAAGTTACCATGTTGGGGGGGAGGTAAGTTACCATGTGGGGAGTAAGTTACCGTGTTGGGGGGGGGGGGGCATAATAATTAAGTTGGCTCCAATGTAAAAGAACATAATGACTTCCCCTTGAACTCACTCCGACCCACTTCAGTGGAACTTGGCAAAGGAGCCGCCATAATGGCTGACCCCTCGATGTACACCCCTTCACCCCATCCTCAGCGACGCTCCTTCTTCACTGATTGATGCCTCTGTGTATGTTACTTTGAAACCACTAATTGCTGGCTGTAAGGAGGGCCGTTTTCTGCTGGTCCTGAGAGACTCTGATGTTTACAAGTTATTCCCCCTCGAATCACCTGTGTTTTATCTGAGGCTGGCGATGGCACGTCTCAGATTGCCACTCGGCAACTCACACTCTGGCCGCTTCTTACTCATCTTCTCTGTTATTAGTTGCATCTGGTAACTATTAGGAAAGGGATGGTGAGCTTCATACAGGTATATACCTGCACCAGTGACTGACAGAACAGCACTGACACAATCCACAACGCTTGTTCTGCCAGGACTACCACACCCATCAGGAGCTTGGCTGGCAGGCCTGTCTATATCGCGAGGCTATGCCGGACAGACTGTGGCGTGAGCGCCCAATTTTATTTGGGGGATTGTTAGCCAGGACATCGGGAGGTAGAAGCTCTCCTCCCCTTTTGAATAGCCCCGCGGGATCTTCAACGTCTACCTGAACAGGCAGCCGGGACCTCGGCTTAATGGCTTATCCGAACGACGTCACCTCTGACAATGCAACACCCCTCCAGGGCTGCACTGGACCCTCAGCCTAGGCGATGTGATTCCAAGTCCCGAAGTGGAACTTGAACCCATAAGCTTGTAACTCAAGAGTGGCACTCATTGCTATGGACCTGCCTGGATCTCTCCGCTGCTTGACACAGTACTCTGGGAGAAATTCCCGTCTCACAAATAGCGTTACGGGATCTTTAACACCCACCTGAACAGGCAGACGGAACCTCGGTTTAGCATCACATCCAAAGGACAGCACCTCCGACAAGGCAATTGCTCTCTCCAACACCCCCCCCCCCCACCCCCACCCCACTGGAGAGTCAGTCTGGTCTGAGCTCAAGTCCAGGTGTGCCCTGAGAATTTGTACTATTTGTAAAGAGAAGGGAGTTTCCACACTGTCTTGGCCAACAATCCTCCAGTTAAATTAGTCACTTGAACTTGAGCCCAACCTCATGTCACGGTTGTTTGTGTGATTTTGCTGTGTATAAAATGGCAACAAATATACAGATGCTCCTCTTGAAGGCATTTACCTATGAAGCACATTGAGATGCTTCTGCCTTGTATGAAATGGTAGATTATCACTGTATATTATACTCCTCACCCACACGGAACAAGAAAGGTTGGTCCATCATGTGTGTTCCTGGTAATCACGCCTGCACAGTCTTCGCTGACAGGGAGTAAATCAACCAAACATTCTTTCTGCTCAGAAACTCCTAATCCAGATCTAAACCTCTCCGACCGTCAGTCATCCCTTACTGTTTGCCTTTCTTAAGCCTGACGAGCTTGTTGTATGAGCAGGTTCCCCACAGAGTTCGATCAATAACAATTCCAATAACAAATAACCCTGGTACTGTGAGAGTTCACTTTACATTATATCCTGTGCGGCACTGGATCAAGGATCAAATGTAAGGATTTTTTTCTGCATCAACTTTGTACTTCCCTCCGACTCTGCAACAACAGCCCTTTGAGTGAGTGAATTGGACAATCGCACAGCGCTGCGTAAATGTAAATGATTTCTGATTTCACTCCGCACGAAGCCTGGCTCTGGTTTTAACCTCACCCCCTCACGGTCTGTCTTCTTTGACCACAGGATGGTGTGCGTGTTTGCACCCCCTTAAAACGTTTGAAGTCGAACGAGAGGGAATTCAGTCTCTCTGAATCTCAGAATCTCGGTATTGTTCCGGAGCCCGGATTGTGTTTACAGTGACGGGGGCAGGACCGAGAGGTGCGGCCTGAGCTGATTGCTGCCAGAACACGATGTTATTTGCTCTTCATCATATATTGCAATTGTTTCCTGCTCGTGTTCCATGTTGGTGGAGTGGAACCTCCTTCCTGCGCTTCACTCCTCACGCATGCCCGCACCATGACATCTCTCTGGTACTGATTGAACCCTCTGACCTCGCCCTAATCCCACAGCTGTTGTGAGATGCTTCCACAGACGTGGATTTAAAGGGAAGAACGCGTATTCTCCGTGGCAGAATAGGAGCCAGAGTTCTCCAAGTGCTTCACTGTCACTGTTGTCAAGTATATTGTGCTGACAAACCACACCGTCTTTGCACTGAGGAATTCTGCATCAGCCATCAGTTGAAGGACCGGTTTTCTGATGGATTGTTATCATAAATATTATAATAACAATCCTTGTATTTGACATAGCGCCTTAACATGTTGTTGAGACGTCTCAAAGCGCTTCACAGGATACACTGTAAACTGAATTGGCTGTGTATTTTGTGGGCGGAACGTGGCAACCAATTGTGCACAGCAAAGACCCACAAATAGCCGTGTGACAAATTTTATCTGGGGGATTGTCAGGCAGTTCATTGGGAGAAAGTCTCTTCTCATTTTGAATAGTGCCGTGCAGTCTTTAACATCCACCTGGACAAGCAGACCTTGGTTTAACGTCTCATCCGAAGGACAGCAACTAAAAGAGACTTTCCTCGCAATATTGTCACCTGCAGAGAGAGAGAGAGAGTCAGCACCTCGGTTTAACATCTCAACTAAAGGACTGCATAATCTCCAAAACACACAGTCACTACGCTTAACAGTTAATCCTGTGAAGCGCTTTGAGACGTCTCAGAGTTTGTGGAAAGTTTTAAGCACTCCAGGATGCTACTCTGCGTGACGACGCTATTTAAATGCAGGTTGTTGTTGTGGATCTTGAACCCACAACCTTCTGCTCCGGAGACCAACAACTCACATGTATACATTGCTGACCAGGCAGGATAGCGTCCCAGAGCGTTGGGAAGGTCAAGGGTATACTCACGGAGAGGTGCAGTAGCCTGCACTGCACTGTCCACCTGCCTGTCGAGATGGTCATTAAAAAGCTGCCGATGCTATTCAAAAAGAGAAGGGAGTTCCTCCCGGTGTCCTGGCCGACAATCAGAGAATCATACAACCTCACAGCACAGAAGAAGGCCATTTGGCCCATCGTACCTGTCCAGCTCTTTGAAAGAACCTCCCAACTAGTCCCACTCGCTCCCCCGTTCTTTTCCCCCAGAGCCAGCCTTGCAATTGTTTATCTTCTAGGAAATATCCAAAGCTTTTTTTTTTGAAAGTTATTAAATGCTCCGCCTTAAAATTGGGCATTTACCTCCCGGCTATTTGCAGGGACACCTGCTAGGCAGCAAATTGCTGCTGGGTTTCTCTGCGAAAACAGTCACTGCACTTGGCAGCGTGACTTGGTGTGAAGCGTTTTGAGATGTGGCCCAACTTGATGAAAATGCTATAGAATGCACGAGTCTCTCTCTCTCTCTCTCTCTCTCTCTCTCTCTGTCTCACTTTTTCTCCCTCTGTCTCCTTCTCTCTCTCTGTCTCTCTCTGTGTGATGATGCTGCTGCTGCTGATGATGATGATGATGATGATTCTCGCTCTCGGGGTTTCCCGTCAGGTTGATCTGCAGGTCACTCTCGGGGCTGTTTCCCAGTCCGGCTGGGAGTTGGGTAGTGTGACTGCAGGCAGTGCTGTGGGTGGCGGCAGTGTACCACGGAGAGAATGTATTTCAGAGGGACTCTGGATCATTGCCATTTGCCTTCAGAACATTGCCACACCCGGTCGGTCATGTCACAGCAGGCTGCTCTGTGACTGGTGTCGACAGGCCCTGATCAGCAGCTGCTTCACTGGAAACTACACAGAGGGGGAAAGAGTCAACAGCGCAGAGCGAAAGGCAAATAGAGCAAGGGAACGAGAGAGAAAGTAAAAGAGAGCGACCGCGAAAGACAGTGAGCCACGCAGCGAGAAAGGGAGCCGGAGAGATAGTAAGAGAGAGATAGTGGAGGGTCGTGAGCGAGATCAAGAGAGAGGAAGGGAAAAGTAGAAAGAATAAGTTGAGGGAAAGTAAAAGAGAGAGATCGCAAAAGATAGTGGGTGGGAGAGAGAGCGATACAGAGAACAGAAGAGCTGGAGAGGAGAGAAAGATAGTTAGAGAGTAAAAGAGAGAGAGATAAAACGTGAGGCAGAGGGAGAGAAAGTGAGAGAGTGAGTGAGACATAAAGCGTGAGAGAGATAGCGAACAATCTTACAGGTCTGTGACCTCTTCCACTAACACCGTTTTCAGAATATTTTGCATGGAATATGTTGTATAACAGACTGAGAGATGAAACAAATTGTATGTATTCCTGGAAGCGTGACGGCTGGTTGCAACAGGCACAATAATAATAATAATAATAATAACGCTTACGTTTGATAAGAGTGTCTGTAACATCAAAACGTCTCAAAGCGCCTCAAGCTAATTGCTGCCAAGTGCAGTCAGTGACTGTCTGTTTGTGGGCAAACACTGCGCCTGCGTTTGATGGAGCGGTGCCCGCAAACAGCCAGAAAGTGAACTATCCGTCGGAGGATTGTTGAGCGGGAAGAAACTCCTTTCTCTTCTCCCAAACTGCCCTGGTCCGGGATCTCTGGGGGGCAGGCGGACATGATATCGGGTGAACACCTCATCCGAGGCACAGCGACACTGACAATGCAGTATAAAGTCTCCCCACAGCACTGCACTGGAGTGTCAGCCCAGACTGTGACAAAATTATGTCTCCAAGCGCTCTGAGCCGCTACTCTGCGCGGAGGGCGCGATGTAAGCGCAAGCTGTTGTTGTTGTTGTGACCCGGTTGTTTGCTTGAACCCACCACTGTTTGAGCGAGAAGCGAGAGAGAGAGTTACCGAGCGAGTCCGACCTAAAACCGCAGGCTCTTTCTCCTATCTTTCAGTGTGGCGTTGCCCTAGGATCGTCGCTGTCGCCCAGATTCCCAGACTGGATGTGAATGGATCTCCTTCGTGACGGGCTGTGGAGATGCACATTCCCAAAGGCCACGAGATGGAGCTGCTGGAGGAGAGCCTGACGGACGGGCCCTGCTCACCCAACCACGTGGCCGTGTGCAAACAGGAGAGACTCTCGTTCGCTCAGCTGCCGAAGCTCCTACAGAATGGCCGGGGGGAGGGGGAGGGGGATGGGCAGGGGGACAGCTCCGAGTGTCCGGGGGAGCAGGGAGGGCAGGACCCACCCAGGAAGAAAAGCCACACCATTTCCAGGCAGATGGCCTTCAAGTCAAAGTCGGAGCTGCAGAGGCAGGGAGCCGTGTCCCACACAGAGGAGGACCAGGCCCCGTCCAGACTCTCCCACCCGGCCTCCATGGACGGCATGGAGCTGCAGGACGCCGAGGTGGGGGTCGGGAAGGGTATCCCTGTGGGGGGCTCGGCCCCCTCGGGCCGGCAGGTGGTGGGGAAGGCGGACAGCTGGCCGTACAACAGCGTGCTCGGCCACACGTTCTCCGTGACCTCCAAGAGCGATGTCTCCCTCAACACGATGCAGAGGAGAGTGTCCCAGGAGTTTGACCGGGAGAAAACGACACGTGAGTCTGTCCTGATCCGCCCGGGAATCGAACCCGGTTCCTCTCGCTTGCGAGGCGATCGCGCTAACCTCTTGAGCTACGGGACTTCCAGCAACGGAAATGTTTTGCTAATTCCACAGGGAGAAAAATCAGAGTTTACCCGTCGGAGAGTGGGAGCGAGTCGCTGGTCAGCAGCAGCCTGGAGTGCGAGTCCATGTTTATCGGGACCCTGTTCGACGACAACGACTCAAAGAACAGTGACTTCCTGAACTCCAGCTTCTCACTGGACCCAGAGGCCACGAGTGTGGATTGTGCCGATTCCTCGGTGGTGTCGGCAGCCGGGCTGGAGTCTGAGAGTACCGGAGGCCTCAAGCACTGTCTGGGGGTTTCACTCTGCACGGAACAGGAGAAACGGCGCTTCTCAGCCTCCGAGCTGATGAACAGGCTGCAGCTCTCACAGAGAAGGGTGGCTCAGGCCCTCAAACTGCCCAAGTCACTGGCAGCGAGGTCTCCGTCTCGAGAGAAGAGCATCTCGGGCTCTCTCACCTCTGAAGGTACAGCCTGGCCTCACTGGAAAACAAAACCCAAACCCCTCGTTCTTCCCTCCCTCCCTCCCTCCCTTCCTCCTCCCCCCCCCCTCCCTCCCCTTCCAAAACCCCATCTTTTAAGTGCATTTTCAACCTTCCTGCCCCACTCCCTTCCCTCCCACCTCATCTCCCCACTCTCATCTCTCACTCCGTCTCTATGAAGCTTGCAGAGCACAGGGCCGATGGTTCAACACAAGGGGGTGAACTGCTTCATTGTCGGAAATGCCGTCTGACATCCCGTCTGTGCCTGTTCAGATGGACTTTAAATATCCCACGGCACTGCTCAAAAGGAGAAGGGAGTTCTCTAACCCTTCAAGCTGAAGCTCAAATGGGTCGAGTGGTCCTAGCCGGATAAGTAATGGGAAAGCTAGACAGGCAACGCTCTCAATGGGAAACCATGGGGTTTTAGCTGGTTAGACTCCAGCAGGGTCCCCCCAAGCCTTGGCTCTTGCCAACCTGCACCTAATACTCTCTGGAATTAGATAACCAGGATGCGTCCATTCCAACAATCTACCTGGGATTTCCATGTGTAGGTGGGATGCATTGGAATTTTCAGCTTGGTTTGGATACGCTTAAGCAACGGTGATGGGTTTCTGCATGTGTCAGGCACCCAGCTGACCCCACCCCACCCAAAAATCTCCCAGTGTCTAGTCCCACAATCCCCCCCAGATACAATCTCTCATTCGCTTCTTGGCGTTGGTGAGGTGGTGTTGAAGGACACTTCTTCACGTGAACCTCTCTTGCCCTCTTGCCATCTCTAATTGTGTTTCTCTGTAAACAGGTAAACGCAGCATAAAGGAGAAGACTCGTTCCCTGACCTCAGCGGAGTGTCTGGCCTTCCAGCAGCTACAGAGCATTGGGATGATCTCCACAGACAGCTCGCTGTCCGGTCTAGAGAAACCCATCGGCCATTCCAGGTAACCAGGCTCTTCCTTAAAGACAACAACAACTTACATTTATCCAGCACCCTTCATCCCGGACGGCATCTCGGAAACAGTGGCGGAGCTCGAGGCCGAGCCAGGCGGAGGGGGAAGGTGACCGCAGACACAGTTGAAGAGGAAGATCTTCAAGCACGACCCGAAAAAGACCGAGGTGGATAGATATTTGTTAGGTCGCTATAAGGGATACGGAGCAATTGGTCTTGAGGTACAGATCAGCCGTGATCTTATGGAGTCGCGGAACTGGCTCGAGGGACTGAATGGCCTCCTCCTCTTTCTGTGTTTCCATTAAACCTTTGAAAACACTGGCTGCGAACACCATGTTGCTGGTTCAGAACGTTCAAGCTTCTTTTTGTTTTCTTGGTATAATGTGATTTGGAAAAAAAAATAATTGTAAGAAAAACGTTGTCGCTCATATCCACGACTGTTTGTTGGACACTGAGCCGCAGGTCTCCACGGATGGGACTGTGGTTAAACCTGACGGTGATGAGCACTTTTTGATGCGATTTTTAAAAAAGTGTCTGTAAAAAAAAAAAAAAAAAAAATTAATTGTAAATCCTTTCTTTCTCCCAACCCCAGGAAGGAAAAGCCAGAGGAAGACACGAGTGAAATGCAACTGAAAGAGAGGAGACACTCGCGGTTTCTGCAGAACTGTGAGTTCATGTCTGGTCAGTACTCTTCCCCCTTTCCCCCCCCACTTCAAACACAAAGCTTTTTGCCAACAACATACACAGTCACTTCACTTTACAGCATATTCCCGCGAAGCTCTTTGAGGCGTCTCGACAGCGTGATGAGGCGCTGTATCAAATGCGAGGATTGTCATTATTATTTACAGCAGTGACCTCAATGGCCGACGGGTTAACCCCCTGGTTTTATGGGCTGCTCAACCTCGTGCTCCTCGGGTTGTGTTTCCGTAGCGATCCTGTACCAGGAGTACAGCAACGTGGCCAGCGACCGGGAGATTCAGCGTCAGAAGCGGGCGGACACGGTGACTGAGGACGAGGACATGATCCTGGGCAGCAGGTACAGCCTGTCTCCCCACAACTCCTTCCGATCCCAGAGGCCGTCGCGAGGCTCCACCTTCGTCCTGTGGCAGGACATCCCCGGGGTCCGCAGCAGTGGGTTCCTGGACTCCATGGGCAACGAGCAGCGCAAACTACAGGAGGTGAGGAGACACCAACAATCGCAATTGGCCGCCGCATTTCGCCCACAAAATATACATCTCGAAGACGTGATAAGCTGCTGTATCAAACCCGAGGTTATATAATTATTTATTCTTTAAGTCCCGCTTAAAACCCCATCTTTTGACCGCCCCTACGGTCACCTCCTCTCACCCTCCTCCTCCCACTTCTCTGTGTCCGACCCAGTCGTTGTGAGGCGCTCTCCTATGTGAAGGGCTGTATTTCAGTGCAAATTGCTATTGAGGTGTTGTCATTGTTGAGGTGTTGAGTTGTTGTCAAGGGTGTTGTTGATGTGTCGTCGTTGCGATGTCGTTGTTCACATGATAAGATGCTATAAAACCGCTCTTTCGTTCCAGGCCAAGTTTGAGCTGGTGACCTCTGAGGGCTCGTACCTCTGGAGCCTAACTCTGACCGTCGAACATTTTCAGAACTCTAAGGAGCTGCAGGAGTGTCTGAACAGCCAGGAGAAGCAATGGCTCTTCTCCAAACTTCCTGAGGTGAAGGAGGTCAGCGAGAAGTGAGTGTCACAGGGTCGTTGGGGAGATCGAACTTCCCCTGATCACAGGACAGGGTCTGTGGTGAAGGGGTGATGTATTTGGTGGTGTGGCTGGGGGTGGAGGAGGGGAGTTAGTGGCTGGAGAAGCCGTGCCTCAGTTGCCTCTTGTCGGTTGCAGGTTCCTCCAAGAGCTGGAGGACCGAGTGGAGAAGAACATCCTGTGCTTTGATGTGTGTGACATTGTGCTGACTCACTGCCCCGCCTTCCGCAGGGTTTACCTGCCCTACGTCACCAACCAGGCCTATCAGGAGCAGACCTACCAGCGCCTCCTGTAAGTCACTTTCACAACGCGACAGCCTTTCTGACCACACAATACACAGTCAATTCGCTTTACAGTTACTGCAAAACACGAGGATTAAATCGGCTCCTAATTTGGTAGTTGGTTTCCCAGACTAATTTTTTTTAGCATTTAAGAATTGCTGCCGCATTCTCCTACAAACGCACAGTCACTACACCTCACAGCAAAATCCTGGGAAGCGCTTTGAGGCGCCCTCCCAATGTGAAATTCGCTGTGTCAAATGTAAGGAAGAATTCCTGTTATTAGTGGCTCTGAGTGAGGACAGTATCCCGTGAACAAACCTGTGAACAGGTGAATCGAGTTTCAAAACATTTCTCAAATAGGGTTTGGAATGTGTTTAATGAAATCCACAGCTGCTTACCCTGAGTTGTGTTGGTTACACTTTTCCAGACAGGAAAATCCCAAGTTTCCCGGAGTCCTGGCAAAGCTGGAGGAGCATCCCGTGTGCCAGCGTCTGCCGCTCACTTCCTTCCTCATCCTCCCGTTCCAACGCATCATGAGGCTCAAGATGCTGGTGGAGGTAAGGACAGGGTTCCTCACACCACAAACCACAATCGGCCGACTCCGCCCGATCATCAGATTATTATCGTATTTACTAACCAGTTGTCCTGCGTAGCGTTAGTCACACGTTTACCCTCTTGTACCATTGAAGACGTTGAATCCAATGAGGAAACGCACCTTCGGTTATCTTTTACCACCCCCCCACCTCTCCGCCCGGCTCCCACCCATAGCCCGGCTGCCAAACCCAGACGCCCCACTCATTTGGGACGTCCTCCCGACACGAAAGACCCCGTGCGTAAATGCTTCGGTTCATTCGTGTTGCGTCGAATCAAAAAAAGAACATAAATAAAAACACCCCCCTCCCACCTGGAGATTTGGCTGCCCAGTGACTCGAGTCAGTCTCCGTTACAGAACATCTTGAAACGCACGGCCCAGGGCTCGCGGGACGAAGATGCAGCAACAAAGGCCTTCAATGAGCTGAAGAAGGTAAGAAACAACTTGAGAATATTTACAAATTGCAGCCCAGGAGGAAGTCACTCAGCCCATCAAACCTGAACGGGTGCCGCCTCTCCTCCCCACTGGAGACAGTGACTCCCATTTAGCTGTCGGCCCGACTCAGTCGGTAACTCTCGCCTCAGACTCGGAAGGTTGTGGGTTCAAGCCCCACATCGGGATTTTGAGCTCACGGTCCAGGCTGATGCTCTACTGCTGGGAGCAGCGCTTTGAGACGTCGCGAAGACATGAATAAGGCGCTATAGCAAATGCAAGGATTATTATTATTGCTGTTATTATTACTATGACAGGTGACAGAGGAGTGTAACTGCAGCGTGCAGTCAATGAAGAGAACCGAGGAACTCATTCACCTCAACAAGAAGATCCATTTTGAAAGTAAGGTAGGCGGCAGTGAACACAAGAGAGATGGGGCGATTCCCGTGGTGTGCCGTGCTGGGTGAGGCCGAGGGGGTGGTCGCTTATGGACAAGGCTGTAAGGAAGTTGTGGAACTCTGGTCCCAAAAGGTTGTGGTCACAGTTGTGAAAGTTGTGGCTTTTGGTGCGGTCAGTTCAAGTTCAAGTCTCTACAGTGGGTCCACACTTCCCATAGGAACATCCAAGTGTCCATCAACCCACAAGGCAGACGCACTAGTCATTAAAGGTTGTGGTAATTATAGCAAGTGACCAAATAAAATTGGTCACTCGATCCATCACTGTTTGAGGGACGCTGCTGTGTGCAAAAATTGGCTGCCGTGTTTTGCCTACAAACTACACAGTCACTACACTTTACAGTATATATGATCCTGCAAAGGGCTTTGAGACAACCTGATAAGGCGCCGTATCAAATGCAAGGATTGTTATCATTATTATCAAGCCGCGGGATGTGTTAAATGATTTTCTTACAGCTTTAGTGATAGAGGATTCTTTAGCCGAGTCTGAGATTCTGAGCTCACTGCCCTTTCTCTCTCTCTCTCTCTCTCTCTGCAGATTTTCCCTCTCATCTCCCAGTCTCGGTGGCTGGTTAAGCACGGAGAGCTGACTGAGGTCGACACTCAGACAAACAATATGTCAGGATCAAAGTTCAAGCTGTCCACCAAGCCCATATACCTGCATCTGTTCAACGACTGTCTCCTGCTCTCTCGCAAAAAGGAGTAAGGACATGATTATTCCTGAATCCGCTTTAATAATCACTCCCGTTCTCTCTCTTCTCTCCGTAACTCTATTGTTAACTCTCTCTCACTATCTCTCGCACTCAGACAACCTCTTTCTCATGCTCTTCCTTCTCAATCTCATTTTTTCTCTCGCTCTTTCTCTACAGCATCTTGTCTTCACATAGCGCCCGTCATATACAGTAGCATCTCAGTGTGGAGCTTTCTCTCTCTCTTGCTCTATCTCTCGTAACTCTTTCGCTATCTGTTATTCTTCCTGACCCTCCAACTTTTTCTCTCTCCATGTCTCTCCCATTCTCTACTCTCTCTACCTCATTCCCTAAGGCAAGTTCCTTACTCCACATGACTGTTTATCTAGCAGTAGGTAGGAACCCGGTTGTTAGTTGATTGGCGGATCACTTTCCGGGCATAATAATCCCTCCAAGAAAATGATAATAAATTTGGCCACTCAATCCACGGCTGTTGTGGGACACTGCTGTGCGCAATTGGCTGCCCATTCGCTCATAAAACACACAGTTATTACACTTTACAGCACTTTATGTGCTTTGGGAAATCTCAATGACGTGATAAGGCTCCATGTATAAAATGCAAGGATCATTATTATTATTAGCCTGCTGCAGGGCTTGTGACCGGATAAACTGCTGACTGACTGGATTGTCTCTCTCTCTGTCTCCCTCTCTCCCTCTGTCTCTCTCTCAGCACAGGGAAGTTTGCGGTGTTTGTCCACGCTAAGATCCAGGAGCTGAAAGCCAAGGATCTGAACGTCAAGGTCCACGGAATCCCAGGCCACGTTTTCCACCTGCAGCTGTTTGAGAAACAGCAACTGAAACAGCAGATTTTGCTCCGAGCTCGGACCGAGTGAGTGAAGGATAATCTGCGCCGGGCAGCACGTCACAGCCAACAACAACACATCACATGAACACAGCGTCCTTCATGTCGGGAGGACATCCCAAGGAGTTGGACAGTCAGGGGTTTGGACCCGAGCTGCGGGTTGGGATCAGGAGGGGTGGAGGGTAGGGGTAGGAGGGTGGCTGAAGGTGTGGTCGCAGAGAAGGGTCTTGAGACAGGTCTTGAAGGAGGCGAGGGAGAGGGCGCGGCGAAGGGACTGTGGTATGGAGTTCTAAAGGGTGGGGGCAAAGAGGCTGAAGGCCCGAATGCCAATGGTGGGGTGTGGGGCAGGGGACATGACCAGAGGCAGAGCTGTGAGGGTGGGTGGGGGAAAGGAAAGATGGTGGTAAGTACATTTGGATCTTTACAGGTGGGGAGGGTAAGGATTGACGGACAAACTCATTCAATAACAAAATATTGACCGAGCAATTTTTTAAAAAAAAAGAATTAGAAGAATCTTTTTTCTCTTCTGGCAAAAGTTAAGTAATCCTCAGTAATAATCCGCGGATTTACGTTCATTTTCATGCAAAAAACTTATGGTTTTTTTTTTCGGTGATGAATAATTTTGAGCGGTTTAATTCTCTTTAAGGCAACGTGTGGTGCAATACTCCAACCTCACCACACGAGGGCAATAGATCCTCACAATACACAAGATGAGGCAATAATAATTATGGCTTTCGCCGCAGCTCTCATAATAATAATAATAATAATAATAATAATCCTTACATTTGATATAGCGCTTTTCACGTCAGGAGGACGTCCCAAAGCGCTTCACAGAACACACTGTAAAGTGAATTGACTGTATATTTGTGGGCGAACGCGGCAGCCAATTGCGCACAGCAATGTCCCACAAACAGTCGTAGATTGAAAATGACCAATTTATTATTGTTTTTGGTTTTGGAGGGATTATTATTAGGCTCTGTGTGGAGTAAGGAAACTTGCCCAAGGTTTCGCCCTCTGCCTGGAATTGAACTCAGGTCTCTCGCTTGCAAAGCGAGTGCTCTAACTACTGAGCTACAGGACTCCACAAGCGTGGAGTCCACAAGCATCATCGTGCGGACACTTCCCAAAGCGCTTCGATTGATATTGAGGATTTGATCCCAGAGAGTGTGGGGCAGCCACTCGTTATGTACCAGCTCTGAGCTGCTTCCCTTGATCTTGTTCCCCAGGAGTGAGAAGCAGCGATGGATAACGGCCACCTTACTGACGCACCAGGACACAGACAGCGAGCTGACCGAGGTGGAGAAAGAAGGTAAGAGTCTGGCCGGCTTGGCTTGTGTTGAGTCTCAGACGGAATATTGCTTAACAACAACTTTTTTTTTGGTCGACTGACCCGTGCATGAACCTGCCACCTGTTTAAGAGTCTCCAAACCCAACTGAGAATTCCAGGCATCCCATCTACAAATCCCAGAGATAGATTGTTGGAAAGGAATGGAAGGCGCTCTCTCTCTCTCTCTCTCTCTCTTTCCCTGGAGCGATGCATCCTGCTTATCTAATTCCAGAAAGTATTAGGCACAGGTTGGGAAGAGCCAAGGCTTGGGGGTCCCCAGAATGTACGTTGGGGTAACTGTTGGCATCGAACCAGCTAAAACTGCATAGCATCTTGGATTATTATTATTATTATTATAAAGTCCTGTGACTCGCCTCGCTGGTCAGTTGATGTTTTTTTTGTCCCAACAAGACTCTCCTCAGGTTCAGTGTATCAAGGCTTACAAAGCACAGGAGCCCGATGAGCTGACCCTGGAGAAAGCTGACGTCTTCCAAGTCAAGACCAAAACAAAGGATGGTAAGAACATCAGTGACTGAGGGGAGAGCGACCACGTACCCAGGCCTTGGCCCTTCCTGGGTTTTTATCCCGAGTCCATGGATGGGATTTGGGGGAGTCGTGAGTTCTCGAGCACTAGGAGGAATTCGGTGGGTGGGGAAGACAGGGGGGAAGAAGGATTCAGGGAAATATCCATCCCCTCAGCATAATAATACTGACCCTTACATTTACATCAAAGATGTCAAGTTTTCATTATGAAATGCCTGGAGTGATAGACATGGGGGTGGGGCGGGGGGGTGGGTGTTTAAGGACCAAGGACGGACGTGTCTAACTACTCGGAGATGCTCCCCAGTGTGAAGGGCGCTATTATACATACAAGTGGTTCTTGTAGTGACATCATGGCGTGAATCTGTTGGCAGGCTGGATAGAGGGCATTCGCCTGAGTGACGGGGACAAGGGTTGGTTTCCAACGAGTCACGTGGAGGAGATCAGAAACCGGCACGCCAGGATGCGAAATCTCCGGGACAAGAATCGCATCAAATGCGCCACCCAGAAACTCCAGGGGCAAAGCTTGTAACCTGCGGCCACTAACTGTCGGCTAAGCTGCCAGTGACCGACCGGGAATCCCAACCAGGTTCCCAACTCCAGGCCCTCAGTCGCCTGATGGAGTGGAATTGAGCTTCTCGGGCAGTGCATTAGAGTGTGGAGTCACCCAAGTGGATGGGACAACAACATTAACAACAAATGACATTTACACGGAGCCTTTCACGATGGGATGACGTCCCAAGGAGCTGGACAGTCAGGGATTTGGACCCAAGCTGGGGGTTGGGATCAGGAGGGGTGGAGGGTAGGGGGTTAGGAGGGTGGCCGAAGGGGGCTTCATTCCCCAGTTATGGGTGGGAAGGTGGGGGGAGACTTCATTTGGAAGAGGAAAGACTTGGACAAGCTGCCTGAACATGAAGTGAAGGGATAAAGAATGATAAAAAAAGGATTTGGATGCATTTATAGTAACTCCCCGAGTCTCTCGAGCGGACAGACAGACTTGCTCTTGTCTCTACACGGATCCGTCACTGCTGCTTACTGAACCCGCCCGCCCAGCGCCGGCCATTCCCGTCAATGGGGAATTGCGGACGGACTTCCTGAGATCCCCGGGGAAGGGGAAATGTTACAGTTCCCACGGACCACGGGACAGAGGAAGGGGAGTTTCTCCCGATGAGCGGGTCTCCAGGCTATCCTGTCCCTCACCTCATGGCCGGTTGATTGTGGACTGTGTTGGCATAAATGGCCATTTGCCTACAGAAACAACTACAACAACAAATGACATTTGTCTAGCGCCTTTCAGGTCAGAAGGACGTCCCAAGGCTCTGGGACTGTGTAAATGGCCATTTGCCTACAAAAACACAGTGACTGCACTTGGCAGTAGTGATCTGTGAAGCTCTTTTAAGACCTTGTCAAGTGTACAAATGCCCTGTTGAGGGGTAACTCGCACCCAGAGGTGATGCCAGAGGCTGTGGGGTTCACTTACAGCACCAGGGTTTGGTTCCAACCCGGAACAATCAGATTCTCTGCCCCGATCTCCTTTATCGGGGCTCCTGACATCAGCAAAGCACATCTCCGGAATCTTCCCTCACCCCCACCTGGGTTTGCGACGCTCGCCCTTAAAAACGTCAAGATGCTGCGGAATTTTGGACGAGTCTTAAAGATGAGCCTTAATTGGAAAGCTGTTTCCCTCCCTCCCCGCCCCCCCCACCCCACCACACTTTACCCTCTCTCCCCCACCCCTCCCTCATCCACCCCACCAACCACCCACCGCAGTCCTTTCCCGGTCAGTTAATGCGAAAAATCGGCTGGAAAAATTCCCGACACTGGGCGGCAGTGACGGGATGTCTTTCACGGCAGTGTGCGTGAGGATTCCAGACTCGCCGTGGGTTGGGGCAGATTCCCGACCGCTACTCACAGCTGTAAATTATTGTTCTGAAATGGTGTTTCGAGCCCGGAAGCAGTTTACAATGTAAATAGTTTTATTTCTAGTTTTGATACCGGATTTCTTTTCTCTTTCTCTCTCGGTGCGAGAGTTGCCGTGTAAATTTACAAGCGGACAGAACACTGACCTTTCACCCTTCCAACCCGGACTGGAATCCAGGAACGGTTCGGGGGGGGGGGGGGGGGGGGCGGGGGGGTGAAGGTCTCCCCTTCTCTGACGGGGCTGGGTGGTGCAGTCTACTGTGCAACCGTACTAATCTGTGCTTAAGTCTGACTGGCGCAGACTCTTGAGGCTGGGAGTGTGTGGGTCACATCAGGGGAGCTTTGCCCATTGACCCATCGCGACCACAAGTAGCTGGTGAGGCTGTTTCTGTGCCTTGATTAGCAATGTTCCACCCCCAGCACTGCCTCACCCACAGGAGCACTGAATGAACCCTGTATATAATCCTCAACGGCACTGGGATTCAGTGCCCAATGTCGTGCTTTGTTTGTTATAGCGTACCCACTAAGCCAGAGGAAAGGCGTGACGTTTGTGGTGTTCTTCAATGCATTGCTGGGGATAATTAAGTGACACTTAATGTGGTTAAAAAAATACTTCTCCTAATCGCTCCCTTTGTTAAAAAAAAAAATTTTAACCACAATTTCATTTACCGTTTGTTAATTGTCATCGGGATGGGTTTGGGTTCCACAATTTTGACCCACCACCACCACCATGTTTTAGCTCTGAAATTCATAGATGAGGGGCAGTGCCTTAAAAGAATAAAACTATACAAGTGTGTGAGCGCATGAGCACGCGAGCAACCGAACAATCAGAATAAAGACATTTTAATAGAGTGGTTAATTCCTCTCACCACCAAGAGTAGAAACTTTGACAATGTTGGGAGGATTTCTCTACCACAAACCGATTTCACCACCACAAATTGTTAAAGCATAGACTAAACATTGGTGTAAATAAAAAGGAGTTACAAATACACGTGGCCCTCCAAAACCACAGCCACCACACTTCACAGTAAAACCCTGTGGAGCGTTTTGAGACGGGTCAACAACACGAAAAGGCGCAATATATAACACCAAGACTTTTGCTATTAGAACCATTGACATTTATAGCACAGAAGGAGGCCATTCGACCCATCGCTCTTTGGAAGAGCGCTCAGTCCCATTGACCCGCCTTTTCCTCACACCCCATATAATAAAAAAGATTAGAATTGAAGAGATTCTTGGGGGTTTGAATTATTTGCCCGCTGATCCCACGGCACATCTCGGGGACGTTATTCAGGCCAATTATCTGCCAAGTACGTCCATCCAGCCAAGAGCGTTCACATCATTTGCCGTTCTGCCTCAAAGAGTTTCTCTTATGTGAAAGGTGCGAAAACAATGTTAATTAATTGCGAACGGTTAAGGGAGATGAGGGGGGAAAATCTTTACAAGGAGGGTGGTTGGAATGTGGAAGCTTGTCCATCAGCTCTCTCTCAATGGGAAGCTGTATGGTTTTAGCTGGTTAGACTCCCACCGCACCCTCTGGGGTATCCAAGCCTTGGTTCTCGCCAACTTACGCCTAATACTCTCCGGGATTCGGTAAGCAAGGAGCGTGTCCCTCCAGGGAGAGAATTTCCATGTGTGAGTGGGATCCATGGAATTCTCAGTCTGGTTTGGATCCTCTGGAGCTCAGTGATGGGTTCCTGCACGTGTCAGACACCCGGCCGACCAACAACAATGTGGAATCATTTCTCCCAAACCGTAGCTAACGCAGAGCCGGTCAATTATTTTGAATGGAACTTAGAAACCATAAAACCATGGAAATGCACAATACAAAAGGAGTGCATGGTGCCAGCTCTTTAAAACTGCCATCCAACTTGTCCCACTCCCCCACTCTTACCCTAGAGTGCTGCACATCGTTCCTTTTCAAGTACTTATCCAATTCCCTTTTGGAAGTTATCGAACCTGCGTGCAAGCCAGGTGCCATTCCCCCTTCCATTGTCAAAGCCATTGCACTCAGCAGCCAGTGGAAAGCTCACCTCTGTCTTTGATGTGGAACATCAAAGAGAACCTGTGAGAGGTAGGTTTGGTGGTTGGATCAAACGCCCCCTCTATTGAAAGTAATTTGGTATATTACAGCTGTTGATCAGTATTTGATGAATATCACAATGTCGAATCACGCGATTGTTTAATTCCTAGCTTGGCTCAACAGTTATTAAAGGCAATCTCAATGCTGAGCGGATCTGTTTGTTTTTTATAATAATCCTTGTATTTGATATAGCGCTTTATCACATGGTCGAGACATCTCAAAGCCCTTCACTATGAAGTGACTTGACTGTATTTTGTGGGCGAAACGCTGCAGCTAATTGCACACAGCAGTGAACCACAGTCGTGGATTTACAGTAATATCCTGAGATGCCCTCTTGATGTGGTCAGATCCTGTATCAACGGAAAATGCTTATTATTTATCGATGATGTTGACAAAGGTGTTGTAAAGATTTTTTATTGGAATGTCAAGAGTTTCCGCGAAAGTTATCAAAGGGACCGAGGACTGTTTGGCAGTGAGATAACCGTGTGCCAGTTGGCCATTGTACATCAAGTGATACACTGCACATTGGTACTAAATATAACTAAAATAATAGTAGGTCCCAGAGTGAATCATTAACTACAAGCGGAAGCTTTGGGTGGGGCATTGCCCAAACTCTCAATGAGTCACAATTGCATAAAAGTGCAGAGAAAGGTGAGACTGAGCACAAGAGGTGCGAGTGACATTGGTTCGTTTTTCACCCTCGTACACATTTATATCGTAGTGCTTTCCATGTTGGGAGGACATCTCAATGCACTTTATGCTGCTCGTGTGTGGAGAATAGGAACATATTCCATCTTCACCACATAGTTGGTAGTTGGCAGAGTCCCGACCCTAAGCAAAGGAAGCCCCTTCAGATAGACATCAAAAACCCCATGAAACCATTCCAAAACAGAAGCAAGCATTACCCTGGTGTCCTGGCCAACAGACCTCTAAAGAAACTGGACATTTCAGCACAAGACTGTTTGCAGGACTTTGGCTGTGAACAAAAATGGCTCCCGCATTTACCTACAAAAACGGTTAAAACTACACCTTCCAAAAATGACTGAAGCACTTTGAGCTTTCGACGTTGCTGGAAATATACAGTCACTACCCTTCACAGCAAGATCCTGTAAAGCACTTTTAAGATGTCTCGACAACATAAGGTGCGTTAACATTGATTCACAAATGCAAGGCACTGCTTAAACAGGGACAGAGAAGTAAAACCACATTTAGTAAAAGCTAAATTACTTTATTTTTACATTTTCCAAGTGTGTTAATCAGCACTGTTAGTAAGCTCACAGTAATATGAGATTTGTGCGGTGCTATTCAACAGGTCGCCTCTGGTGGAGATGTCTGGCTCTGACACGATTCGGCTGAAACTTTTCCTATGAACAAGGAAGAAATGCAAAGTCCAAAATTTTTAACCAGGTCCTACATCGTAAGACAAGGGTTGTTCGTGTGTCTGCGTTCGTGCGAAGATTTTGTAATTTTATGAATTCAATCAATTTGGAAACCAGTTTTACAGAAACATTTTTTTTATAGAAAAATGGTTTTCACTTTAAGACCTTCGTTCAGAATATTTCATTCAGAACCAAGGAGACCGGTCGTCTTTGGTGTTGCTCATTTGAGGTCTTCAGTGGCAGGAATTGGGAGCGTGCAAGCTTGAGAAAAAAAAAATTAATTGGACGTTTGAAGAAGATTCAGACTCCTCAGTCCAAATCCAGTCACCATTCAACAACCCTCTCAACAACACCTTGCATTTATATAGCACCCGTCACACAGGGTAGTGTCCCACAGCACTTGAGCTCTCCCTCCCCACCATTCCCCAAGGATCCTTCAATGGGCTCTTTATTACTACGCCCCTCTCGTGGAACAACCAAGATGGGGCCTGGAATTCACCTCAGTCTCCACCCGGTGAGACCCGTTTTATCTTCAAAATTGAAGACTTGTGCACAGAACAATTCACAATGTTCTGAAGTTCGGTCTGAAATTGATGCATCCGACATTGACCTGGATTAATGTCAGTGAGAGAGGGATATCAAGCGCTCGCCAGTCTCTGAGTCAAACAAACATGAACCCCACGATGAACGTGTTACTCGAGAATCCTTTACCCAGTCACCGTTTCAATCCTTCAATTTTTATTCGGAGATAACTGATACATGAGGTCAGCGAGGTTTCTATCTGGGCACCGGGGCAGGTTAGCTCCTGCCGTTGCCCATTGCTGCTCACCACCAAGCGCTCAGCAAGTTGGAGTCACACCCGGAGTAGAAATGGCCGTGACCCAGTCCTGCAACTCACACCTGCACAAACCAAACAAGATACAGGAGCAGATCAGAGAGAGAGAGAGAGGCCAAAGTCCCCTTTCCACTGAGACTCTCGTGCTCACTCAATGCGATCCTGATCATTCCTTCTTTTACAACAAAAAATGCTCTGCACTCTCTCACTCCTCACTATAAATATATATATTTATATAAATAAAAGATATATAAATCCTCTGTGCTCCACTATCCTTCCAACACCAAATCTCACACATGAATACTGACTACTTGATGAGCAAAGTAATAATCCTTGCATTTGATTTAGCGCCTCTTCAGGTCATCGAGACGTCTCAAAGCCCTTCACAGGATACACTATGAAGTGTAATGACTGCGTATTTTGTGGGTGAAAATAACCAGCACTCAGAGAACTACACCCGACCACGAAGGAGGAACTAGAAACCCAAACCTGTACAGAAAAGGGCAAGAAATGAAGTTGCCAAAGAACCTTACTGATTATCTGCTCCCAGGATCATTCTTTTGATGTTTCCCTCGTGATTCTCAGACAGTTGGAGAACAAACACCAGCGATTTGGTCTGGAAGCAGATGGCCTTGACCTTCGAGGGCTTGGCATAGTCCACAACAGAAAATGTCCCTTCAGCACTGCAAAAAGATCATCAACCATGAGTGGTTACAGTGCGTTCTTCAATTGGGGTAATCTCAGAGCGCTTCGCAAGGGCTGAGTCAGACATGGAGAGAGAGAGGAAGGGGAAGTGTGTGGTTGAAGAGGTAGGTGTTTAAAGACGGGATTTAAAGACAGATAGAGAAGTTGCGGAGGGAGTTCCACAGGTTAGACGCATAGCAGCCGAGCTCAGACAACCAGGTCGTTAACTTCATACCCAAATAAAACAGTGGCTCTCAGCCATGTACTGACAGGATCAGATTCTCAGACATACCTCACCACAAGGACAGAAATTGATCACTACATTCCAGGCAGCCATAAGCTCCTCCACAGTGATTGCTGCCCGCTCTCTCGCCCAGATACGCTACACAGAGGACATAGCAAAAGCCAGAGTCCTCGTGGTCTCTCTCTCTCAGAATTTGCCAAGACCAAATTGTAGACTTTTGTAACGAAGAATTAGAAATAAAACAGCTTCGGAATTCAGACCCGAGTTTAGAACTTTTGCAAAATTCTCTAAGATCTTACGTGTTGAGTCAGCGCTCGTAAGATGAAGAAGATGACAGATTTGTGGGCTCAGGAGCCTCACAGCTCACATGTAATGGACTGTGCGCAGCGTTCCAACACCAAATATGGTTAAAACAGTCAATAATAATAGTTATATTTGATACAGTGCCTTCAGCACTGCAACAAGATGTCTCAAATTGCTTCACAGGGTTTTACTCTAAAATGTGTTGATGACTGCCTTTTGCCAGCAACATTCAGGTAGAACTGGACATTGGGAGGATGTGGCCCCAGCAGGACTCTCTGGACTTTTCCCCCCAAAGTTGTGAAAGTCAAAGGAACTTTCAAACGCCACACGTACCGTTTCCTGGAGAGCAGCAGCAGATCATTAAAGAGGTGCAGATGGAGGGAGGTGGTGGTGGCTCCAGGTTCCTGTACAAAGATCTCCTTTAGCTCCCCTTCTTTGACCAGCCAACGAGTTTGAGAGATGAGAGGAAGAGACTGGGAAGCGGGGAGGAGGAAGAACTCGCATTGTTATAGCGCCTCATCACTTGGAAGGACAGCAAAGTACTGTCGCGTGTGGTGTCATTTCGGAAGCATCATCCAGCTGCCAGGTCTCACAGACAGTCGGGAAATGAACGACCACTTAACCTGGAGGAACACTTCACCAGGACGAGCTCACTGGTTTGTTTGTTTGTTTTTTTTTTTTTTTGCACGATTTGGTGCCACAGGATTTTCAACGAGCACCTGGACAGCAAAGGGGCCTTAGGGTAACACTTCATCCAAAGGACGGTGTGTCTAACCGTACACCATACTCTTATGTAGGTATTTCCTCATCAGGCGTACATTCCAAAGAGCTTTAGGAGGGCTGGCTAGGCACCCGAGCTGCAGTGTCAGTCTAGACACTTTTATGCAACAAACCATCTCAAAGCATGGGCAGAGCACAAGTCCTGATATGGATCTTGAACCCCCACTAAACCCAGAAGCAAGAGAGCAGCCAACAGAGCCTGGTTGACAGAACCAGGAAGAGAGATCAGGATATGAACGGAGACAGAGTGAATTCTGACAAGCCATCGTCATTCTGTGGACTCTTCTCACAGGGCATTCTGGCCCCTTTCTTACAATCTGCCTGACATGTTGATCCCTTACTGAACTCACCATTCCCCACCCACTCCATTACTCAACACCTCCCTCCACCTCACTACTCAACCCCACACCCTTTCCTCTGGTCTGGGACAATGTGCTCACCTTGGTCTTGGGAAATTCCAGTCGTTTCTCCAGATACACCAGATCCTCGATCTGCTTCATTTTCTTCACGTTCTTGTCACATTCAGACACAATCTGCAGATCATAGATTGTTACAACACGGAAACAACCTATCGCGATCTACACTAAGGTTTTTTCTCGACTTGAGCCACTCATCTAATGCCAATGACGCTCTCCTGCTCAGGCCAATGACCCTAGCGCCTTGGGATGTCTGCCCAATGTGAGAGATGCTATATATTATATATATGCGTAATTTGTTGTTGCCTATTGTTGTTGCCCACCGCGGTAGGTTAGCTTCCCTCAAGCCCTTACTTGGAGCAAAGCCTCTGCTTTGATCTCTTCCACTTTTATGCAACAAACCATCTCAAAGCATGTTAAAGTGCAGTGATATTCCTGTAGGTAAAAGGCATTTAGCTATTCTGCCCACGTTCAAGATCCAACAAACACACCTTGTTCAGGAGGTGAATGACCAATTTGTCTGGAGGATTCCTGACTAGGACACTGTATAGAGCTTCCTTCTCTTGTCAAACACTCTCATCGGATCTCAACTTCCTACAGAGAATCATTCCTTGGTCGAAAGTCTCATCTTAAGCGGGCCCTTACTCAGCCCATCACTGGGGTGTCAGTCCAGGCAACAAGCTCTGGTCCCCATGTGCGACTTAAACCCACAACCTTCTGACCCAGAGAATTACCAACCAAACCAAGTTCAGCCTTGATGATGGGCATCAAAAGGCCAACAGGTAACATTCAGAGACTGACCTCTCCAATTGCTCCCACTGCACTCCTGGCACACTCGCTCATCGACGACTTTGGGGAAGACAATGTCAAGATATTCTGGGGAGAAAAGTCACTATTAACTAAACCATTGTATTATACAGCGGCTCTCGCCGAGGAACAAATTGTGAGTAGTTGTTACCTCGAGCAGAATCTTCAGCCGTGTGATTCTCTGGAAAGGTAGGATCAGAAAGGACTTGAGTGGCTGTCGCTGGCACATGCTGTTTGCCTCCAGTTCCCTCAGCACCTGGGTAAACTTCTCATTCCCACTGACAGAGTCAAGGCAAGAGTCAAGGCGGAGGACCATAAGCAGAGGACCCAAGGCAGAGGGCTATTACCCCAAATGCCCTGCAAATCCCTCATCCCCTTCCATACACCCTGCCCCACACACACAATCCTATCCATCCCACCTCATGCATCTCACCAATACCCTCCACATTCAGTGCTGCATACACACACATATCCCCCTCCGATGTTGATGGAGTGCTGACTTACACCAGCTGCTGCATCATGGACTCCTGGTACATCTGGTTGGTGACGTAGGGGACATAAACCTTCCGGAAGGCAGCGCAGTGTTTGAGAACGATGTCACCGATGTTGGTAACGAGCACTTTCTCCTCCAGACGGTCCTCCAGCTCCAAGAGGAACCTGTCCACAAACCACATGTGGGGCTCAGAGCAAGGCTAGGGGCGGGGCAAAGTGTGCGGGGCACTGTTTGTGAGGTGAACCCCTACACACAAAACACAGTGACTACATTCGACAGTAAATCCTGTCTGTGAGACGCTTCCTGATGTGAAAGTCACCGTATCAAATGCAAGGATTATTTAGAGATTCAAACAGGCAGGAGGGGATGAGGCGACTTGCGAGGCAGCACGGACACTGAACAGACCCACCTCTCGCTGGCTTCCCGGACACCCAGCAGGTTGGAAAAGAGAGTGTGGACCTCGGTGGGAGTCAGGGTGTCCAGCAGCTCCCGGCACTTACTGAAGTGATTGACGGCCACCGTCAAACTGCGCAAGTAGGAGGCCTCAGAGGTAATGACTTCAAACATAGCCTGAGAGAGAAAACAACAACACCAACACGTTACATTTACACAGCGCCTTTCCGGTCAGGAGGACGTCCCAAGTTGCTGGAAATTTTACAGCGCAGAATGAGGTAATTCGGCTCCTCGTACCTAAGCTGGCTCTTTTGCGAGACCAATTCTTTCAGTCGCATTTACCTTCCCTTTCCCCGTAGCCCTGTAGATTGCTCTTTTCTGAAGCTGAAGAAATAAGTCTGCACAAGCAAAGACTGGGTGGAATTGAAGGCCACCCAAATCTCCATCCCCACGTGGGGCTTGAACCCACAGTGAGAGAGCTACCACGTGGGGCAGAGCAACAAGACAGACTCCATCACACTGCAACAACGACTTGTATTGATATAGCGCCCTTCACGCAGGGTAGCGTCCCAGAGCGCCTGATGGACTCCAGCAACGAGCACTTACTTCCTGCAGCGTGCATTCCTGGGCGGTGATGGAGGCCAGCACTCCGCTGGCTTTCACCTCGGGAATCTCCCGCCAGAAGGTGAAGCTGGAATCTTTAGGGGACAGCTGTGAGGAGGAGGAGTTGAGGATGGAGGAAGAGACGAGACCAGCCAGGGACAGTGTAGTATCTAACACAGAGCAGTCTTTCCTCAGCTTCCCTTGGTCTCCTCCCAGTTTTTGGAGCCAGTAATTCTGGTAGAGTGGTTCTGGAACCAATAGTAGTAATAATAATACTAAATAATCCTTGCCTTTGATTTAGCGCCTTATTACATCATTGAGACGTCAAAGCGCGTCACAGGATATATTGTAAAGTGTAGCGACTGTGTATTTTGTGGGTGAAACACGGCAGCCAATGGTGCACAGCGGTGTCCCACAAAGTCGTGGATTGAGTGACCAAATTATTATTATGAAGGGATTATTACCCCCGGAAAGCGATCCACCAATCGACTAACAACTGGGTTCCTACTTACTGCTGCGTAAACAGAGGTGTGCGTGCGGAGTAAGGAAACTTGTCTAATGCTTCGCCCTGACCCGCCTGGATTGGGTTATTCATCCCATGGTACCTATTGGTTGCCACAATTACCTATGACACCAGGAAACTTGTCATCAGATTTAATAGTAATTCCTGGAAACCACTTAAGACATTTTGACGTGACAAGGAGCTGCAAGACATAAAGATTTATTTATTTGCTCGATGTTCCCGAGCTACCCTACTTACGGGTGTCGATGTACTTGGATTCCCGACTCCTCAGAGACTCCATTTGTTGAGAATTTTTTCCCATTTCCATCAACGCAGATTTTCCTGGAGCTGTAAACACAAACACATGGACACCACCACTTTCAGCCGCGTATCCAACATAAGGTCCAAATGACCACTACAATTTAGGCAATCTGAACCAAACTGCCAGTGGCCATCTAATAATGTAGATACCAATTCAAGTGTGTGGGACACTGTTGGGTGCAAATTGGCCACTGTGTTTGCTCACAAAACACACTTTACAGTAAATCACACACACACACACTCTAGGGCAACTCTTTAACTAATCACAAACACTCATACAGTACCAGTGAGCTAACCAGGCAAGTTGTCCTCCTGTTAGTCACCACTGGGAACCGTCTGGAATTAACTACTGTCCTTAAATAAAGATAGAGCTGTATTTAAAGTCCCCACAGACCATCCGATCTGTGAGCACACATCACAAAAAAGAGCTCCTTGACCCAGTGTTTCCAAATAAATGCCCCACAACAACACTGAACAGGACTAACAGAACCTATTAATCATAGCCTCCGGGTACCTGAGTCCTCGGTTGACACCAAGCAGGGACTTGCCTTGTGGATCCTTGGGAAGGGGTTCTGAGCTGGGAGTTGTTGGGAGTTTGGGGCCAGTAATCAGCCCATTCCAGTAAAAACAAGTCAACAGCCAATTGGGAATCAATAATGCAATCTATCTACAAGCAGCAATGAAACTTCTCCTGATCAGAGTGATCTGAAGGACAGCCTTCCATTAGCTTGTCAACTAATTAGTTGGAAGCACCTCTCTCTCTCTTTCTCTCTCCCCCACGTGGGCTGTCCTCACAACCAAACATGTCCCACATGTGGTCAGCACATTCCATCAACATGATGCCATCATTTATTCCAAATGTGCTATGAGGAAAAGTGGTCACCTTATCCTCTGCTGTTTCTCTCTCTCTCTCTCTCTCTCCCTGACCCTGGACATTTACCATTTACCGACAACAGTAACACAGGCGCATCTCATGTTCCAACCCGTGTCCAATCAGAAGTAGACCCATGATTTCAGCCCCAAAATCCAATTAACTCCACTGCCTCTCCTTTGGGCGAAAATAGGGTCCAGCGATGATTAGATAAGTGCATGTCTGTGTGTGTGTGTGTATATGTGTGTATGCGCTGTGACCATCACAGAGCTGGAGATTTAATCCATATGGATAAATTCAGTGCCTCATAGCAAAGGTGACTCAGAACAATAACAATGGGGTGAAATTCCTACCAGCTTCCAGGTTTAATCTATTTATGTAAAATTTCAGTTCAGCCAGAATTTGGCAAATTGTTGCAGGTTTGGTTCAGAGTCATTCCAACAAGGGAAAGGGTGGGGCGGGAAGTCTTCAAGAGAGAAAAGTGGATATTGTCTAAATCTTTGCAAACCCTCCCTTCAGATGATAAGATGTTAACTCGAGCCCCTTCTGCCGTTCCAAGTAAATGGTAATGATCTCATGACGCTATTCAAAAAGAGAAGAGTTTCTCCATCCCAGAATCTTGGGCAATAATCCACTGGATAAAACGGGTCATTCACTTCATGGCTTGTCTGTGGCACATTACTGTGTGGATGTTGGCGTTGGCCTACAAAACACACAGTCACTACTCTTCCCGTCCACTCCCGTGAGACGCTTTGAGGTGACCTCCTGAAGCGGGAGACTTTACATTTCAAAGGTAAGGGTTATTATTATTATGCGTTATTTAGAAAGGAGACGTTTTAATCTTATTAAGAGAGGAACTCCTTTTAATCTCACATATACCCATCCCAAGCAGACGGACACTGTGTAAAAGTTAATCTTTTACCATGGTTTAGCCATTAAGCACTCCGGGACGCTACTTTGCGTGAGGGGCGCTATATAAATGCAAGTTGTTGATGTTGTAATCTCTGTGCCATCTGAATTATACAGATTTCTGGCCCATTGTTTGAATAGATCCCCAGCTCAGCGGATTTCTTTTCAAGTGGTGCTTTCATTAATCCCTTTAGATCTCACTAACATATACCACAGTGAATCAGTGACTAGAACAGACTAGGTAAGAAGCAGTTAAATAAATCTTTTCACACTGAGTGGCAGAGTTCTATGTTCTACTGTAATTACCATCTATTGGGCAGGACAGCCAACATACCCAGGAGCCAATGAATATCATCAAATGTGCAGAAGTCATGTCGAAACACTAATCAGTACACCAATTTTCAGAGCAATTGGTGGTAATGTGTCATTTCTTGCAATGGCGAAGAAACGCCCTCAAGTGAAACCGTTTAATTCCGAATTTACCTGAAATTCCATGAACCCACATTTTCTGGGAACAATTTAATCTTGTGAAATGCTCTTCTTTTGGGGAGGATCGCGGGGTCTATCCCGCAGTTTTTACAGTTCTACCCAATTAAACAAAATACCCAATTAACTCCAGTCTGGTGACCTGCCCGTTGTCTGTCTAGCTCTAGCCCATCTGCTTAATTGCTCCCGACCTGTAGAATTGGGTGAATTTGTGCAATGGGCCAATTAGATGCTCTCTTTCCCCTTCTTCAATGGATGTTCCACAGTCTCACCAAACAGGTAATTAACACAGACTTACTTTCCTAAAGCTGTTTGCCCCCTGAGTGGAGCAGCAATGGCACAGCATTGGGGAGAGACAATTTTTACAGTTCGTGCCGCAATTACGACACTTTCTACCAAACCCTGGGAAGGGCTTTTAAATGCTTCTCTATCACGAGAAGCGCTAACAGTTTGCATTTACACAGTGCCCTTCATGCAGGACTGTGCCTCGGAGCGCTTAACAGTGGCGGAGCCCCACGCTAAGCCGGGGGGAGGGAAGAGGTGACTGTAAGCACAGTCGAAGAGTAAGGTCTTCAGTTGTGATCTAAAGGAGGGGAGAAAGGCGGAGGGATTGGGGGGAGAGAGTTCCAAAGCTTCGGGGCGCAGTGGCTGAAAGAACGGGTAACGACAAATGCAAGAATTATTAGATTTTTAGTGTGACTCTTGATTTATTAGAGAACGGTGAGTTGTCCGGTCAGGACAACCCTCTTACGCGGCACTGGCAGTATTGCAATGGTGTCAGTGGAACATCTCTGCCTTGGCCCATTTTAGACCCTTGTCCATTTCCTGAGAGCAGCACAATATGGAAATGTGCTGAGGAGGAGGTTTCTCTGTATAACACACACGTTTGTTTGAGAGTGGAAAGGCCGGACCAGTTTTGTTTTCTACAGCAGAAACAGGAGATGGAAAGGTCAAATAGGATCAGGATCCTTGTGACTCATATTCAAAATATATTCAATGCCCATCACACGTTAATCTATCTGTGTATTCTATCTGCGCAACAGGTGTGTCTCTCTGCTTCTCTGTCCGTGTGGCCTCCCCCTTGCTTTCTGTCGTAATAATACAACAAGATTCCATTTATAGAGCGCCTTTCACGTTGGGAGGACGTCCCAAGGCGCTGGACAGTTGGGTCGGGACCCGAGCAGGGGGGAAATGGTCAGGGTGGGGGGAGGGAAGGGAGGGAGCGAGGAGGGGGTAGAGAGTCGAGAGGGGAGGTGAAGGCACGGTTGAAGAGAAAAATAATCCTTGCATTTGATACAGTACCTTATCACGTCGTTGAGATTTAGTTCATGGGCCATTGATCACTCAATCTACGACTGTGTGTGGGAACACTGCGGTGTGCAATTGGCTGCTGTGTTTCTCCCACAAAATATGCGGTTCATTGACTTTACAGTATATGCTGTGAAGCGTTTTGAGCGTCTCAAAGACGTGATTATTATCATTACAGTGTTATTATTGCTGTCCGTGACCTGGGCGTGCTGGATGGGACAATGTAGGGAGAGTTATACTCTGCAGCCAGCTTGTGTAGCTTACCTGGTTGTGCTGAATGAACATAAGAACATAAGAATTAGGAGCAGGAGTCGGTCATTCAGCTCCTCGAGCCTTTGATAAGATCATGGCTGATCTTCAGACCTAACTCTAATCACCTGCCCTATCCCCATATCCCCTAATCCCTCTATTTTTAAAAAAAATTAAAAAAATATATTTCTCTGAACCTAACCTGTAGCCGTACCTGTTCTTGACAATTTGTGGGGGAAAAGAAACAATTATAAAATGGCTGCAATTTGCCTGCGGCCACAGGAATGAGAGTTTTATTGTGGTTTTGGCTGCGAGACTGAGAGATGCAGTGAGTTATTGAGTGAGGTGCGCTCACAAGAAAAGGCAAAGCTTTTTTTTTCTAAATTCAGGAATATGTGATGTTGTCACCGCGCTGTGACTCAAAGGGTGTGTGTGTGTGTGTCTGTGATCTGCACAGTGCCCATTCCCAGGCTCACTGGGGTGGGGGGTGGGGGTGGGAGTTTGGGAGAGGGAGTTGGGGGTGCAGACGCCAGCCATACTGGGCGCACAGCCACGTGCAAGTGATCAGCAGGCCCTGGGAGTTGACGATTCCACGCGGTGATTGCGTCCTCGCTGCTCGCCACAAATCTGTCTTCAGCGGTTGTAAAGCTTTCCTGTGGAGCATGTTGACATTCTGATCTGCTCTGCTCTGCTCTCTCTCCCCACGTCAATCTCACGGCATCAGCAGATTCCTGCAACGTGACTCTATCTGGTTCACGCATTCAGTGTGAATTCAAAGTGCTCCGCGGATTGTTCCAGAAACCGTGGCCTCCTGCTGCCCCCTCTCCTTGCCTATTGTGGAGCAGTTTCTACTACTCCTCACATTCAGGTTGTGTCTCTCCCTCCCCTCCCACTACTTGTGGCAGCGAGGCGGCTTCCTGTCACACTGATGGATTGAACCGTAAAATAATCTTTGCAGGTCATATTGTGTCTTCGATGTCGCGTTGTCAAAGGGATCCCAAGCGTTTCACAGGAGCTGTCTGCACTCCTGGGGACATCCGGAGTCCATGTATTTTGCAGGTAAACGCAACAGCCAGTTTGCACACAGCAATGTCCCACAATTAAGCCATGGAGCGAGGGACCCACTATATCTGGAAGATTATCTGCCAGGATATCGGAGAAGACTCCTTTCTCTTTTTGAATAGGGCCATGGGTGCTTTAATGAAGGACAGCACCTCCAGCAATGCAACACATCCCCCGCCAGCTCTGCATTGGAGCGTCAGCTTAGACTACGTGATTCCAATTCCTGACTTGGGGGTTATGTTAGAATACATTAGAATATATAGCGCAGAAACAGGCCATTCAGCTCAACTGGTTATGCCGGTGTTTATGCTCCTCTTCCCCTTCCTCAACTAAGCCTTCAAGCAGAACCTTCTATTCCTTTCTTCCTCATGTACCCATCCAGCTTTCCCTTAAATGCATCTGTGCTATTTGCCTCAACAACTCTTTGTGGTAGCAAGTTCCACATTCCCACTACTCTCTGTGTGAAGACATTTCTTCTAACTTCCCTGTTTGATCTATTTGCGACTATTTTATGTTGATGGCTCGAACCCACAACCTTCTATAATAATAATAATCCTTGCATTTGATGTAGCGCTTTTCACATCTTCTGGACGTCTCAAAGCACTTCGCAGAATAGACTGTAAAGTGAATTGTATATTTGTGGGCGAAACGCGGCAGCCAATTGCGCACAGCAGTGTCCCACAAACAGTCGTGGATTGAAATGACCAGTCATTATTGTTTTTTTGAGGGATTATTATCAGGCGTGTGGAGTAAGGAAACTTGCCCAAGGTTTCGTTCTGCCGGCAATTGAACCCAGGTCTCTCGCTTACAAAGCGAGTGCTCTAACCACTGAGCTACAAGGACTCCTTCTGAC